AGAAAAAAAGTACACGTAGTAACTGCCCAATGGTGACATCATCCAACCCCAGGATGGCCAACCGACAAACTATGCAAACAGACGGAATCAGAAAGAAAAAAAAGTACATGTAATAACTGCCTCATGGTGACACCATCCATCCACCCGATGGCCAACCGACAAACTATGCAAACAGACGGAATCAGAAAGAAAAAAAAGTACATGTAATAACTGCCTCATGGTGACACCATCCATCCACCCGATGGCCAACCGACGAACTATGTAAACAGACGGGAAAAGGGTACATGTAGTAGTGCCTAACGGTGACACCATCCAACCACAAGATAGCCAACCAACGAACTATGCAAACAGATAGATGGAATCACTAAAGAAAAAAGAAGTACATAATATAGTAACTGCCTCATGGTGACACCATCCAACCACCCCATGGCCAACCGACCAACTATGCAAACAGACAGTGTAATTTAGTCTAACAGAATGAAAAAAAAAGTACATGTACTAACTACCTAATGGTGACACTATCCAACCACTCGAAGGCCGGCCAACAAGTCGGTGTGCTTCTCTTATTAACTCTTTAACCCTATCCGTACGTTGTGTTTTACTATCGTATCTATACGACGTGGGGAACTCTGGGCCACCACTTTCCAAAGAGGAAATTTACTCGTTAATCCGATCTGTGTGCTTTGAATAGCAATCTGTCAAACTGATTTTTTTAGAAATACTGAAAGTTTCAAAGAGATTTTCGTTCTAGAAGTATTCTAAAATGTGAAGAATACAACCCCAAGGGTACAAAATGACCCCAGGGCGTACGGAGATGGTTAACGAATTATCGGACACATACGTGTCGGATCAGTAGCAGACCAATTGTGACACAGTGAGAGCTATCATACACAAATTAGAAACATGAATTTGTTGATATTTTATGGTTTGCTCGTCGTTGCTTACCTATCAACGTTTTAGATAGTTTTAGATCTATTTAGTAAGAGTTTTACGACACTTGCAACACAATAACGTCATATAAGTGCCGAAGATAACAGGTGTTAAAAGGAGTAACAAACACAAAAAAGGAGAAGAGATAAAGACGATAGATGTTTGATAGGATAAGGAAAGAAGGAGCAAGCCACACCAGAGCACCCGCCCGCCAACCACCCACGTTTCAGAAAAGGAGGGGTAAATTGAATAGGAAACTCTGAATGAATAACGAAATCACACTTAAAAACAACGTAACTTCAAGAGTTGTCAAAATGAGAAGACTGAGTGTCCTCAAAGAGTTAACTAACCCCCGCACTTCCACAAGCAAACAATGACGACGAGAGCAAAAAACATGGCCCAAACAACAAGTTGGACATACTTTAAATCAATAAACCAATAGATCGTCGACGCGTTGTCCTTAAAAACCTGTCGCATTAACCAGAAAATGCAGGCTGTGTTGATCGGCTTCAGTGGTCTCAGTGTAATTTGTTAGACTCTCTGCCGTCGCATGCAATGGATGCGACTCCGTTCATGCAGAAGGCGAGGGTTCGATTTCTGCATGGGGGTTATATTAAGGGCTGCGTCTTCCTGATGGGATGCCGC